CCGAACTTTAGGCTGTGACACTGGTTTGATTAGAATGTAATGCTTTCGAATTCTCCACCCTATTGATTTTGAAAAACACAAAACTTTGAAGCAAAGAATTATAAAGGAGAACTCTTAACATCTTTAGTTTGAGCATTTCAATAAACACTTTCAATACTGTACTTATGTCTATAAGTTTGTTGGTAAGCTTACCAATATCTGGTAGTGGTTCAATGACTTCCCAGTTTGGTTCTGAACGAAACAACATAGAAACATGCTGCAGTGCTGTTTCTGAGAAAACAATTCAAAGATATGAATAAGTCTGCTATATTAACCAAATTAAAAACGATCATGTTTCAATTTTAATATACTAGAAATAAAAAGAAAATGAAGGTAACACTACTACTGACGTCATTCTATAATAGATAGCTTAGTTACAGAAAACAATAAGTATAGGGCCTCCATAGAGTCAACATCATAGAGGCAACAGACACTGTTCTGTATTAAAATCTATATGAAATTCTTTATCATGAGTGGACTTTAAATCTTGTGTGTGTGATTCTAACATTGCTCCAGATTTGTATCTAATTGTGAATTTCTAGAAACTTGAAGTTGCTTGAGCTTGTAAAAAGAATGATCATGTTTTTAAAAAAGTATCTAAAACATCTAGGCTTGAAACTCACCCAGAAAGTTTGAGGAGTAGTTGTTGACATCTAGAAATTTCTTCACAATCAAACTATTAGCAATTACTGGTATACTTGTTATTGCATTCAGATATACCTGGTAGAGGATGAGTGATTATTTTTTAAAATAAAATATTCAATTTAACTATTTTCAACTGTTACATATTTATGGTCATCAATAATAAAATTGATGAAATGTAAATAAAATCATTGCTAAGTATTTGTCCTACTTAGTTATAGACTAAAATACATAACAGCTAATTTGAAATTAAATTCTTGATATAAATTTTGAGAAATGGTTACATTTCTAACAGTCAAACTACTTAAGGTATTTAAAATATTTTGCCCGAAATGCACCTGCAGTCCATTCTGCCTTTCAGCAATAAAGTCTCTGTCGAAATTCCCAAACACCTTCTTGGGTGGCAGTGGAAGCTCAACATTGGTTATTCGGAGCTGTGCATCTAGTTTCTCAAAATCGCTGTAGCGTTTAGTAATCTGCCATGAATGATCTCGCAAGGGACCTCTCTGCACACGAACTATGTACTCCTAAAAATATAGAATCAGTTCAGTTGTTGTTACTAGGTTGAATAAAGTATAAATTCTATTCTGTGATGCTAAAAGTAAATTTAATGGGCTGTATTAAATTCCCATTCCTGTTAGGTTAGTGGAATACCCATAATGTTAAAATTCTTTATTAATTACATTTATTTGTTTTTAAACAAAACAAGGATATTGAAAAAAACAAAAGTATAAAAATATTTAAAAAATAATAAAAAAAAAACTATAAAAAATATTTAAAACAAAAAGAAAAACAAACAAAACATAAATACTTTATATTTTTAATAAACACAATTATACATGTATATTTACAGAAAATAAGACTGTACCAGACATATTGCATGCAAGAAAGTCCTGACTGCATACAAAAGATATCTACAAATATATAAAAGTAAGAAACTTGACTGGCCCTTATGTAAACAAATTGATTGGCCAGAATGAAGAAACTTCCTAGGAAAGATTCGAAAGCCATGTGGTGTCTAGAAAACTCTATTACAATAACAAGCAAAATAATTTAAAAATCCTTTTTTTTAATTAAAAAAAAACAACAACAAAGAAAGCTTATCTATAGGGGAAGAACTCTGTCCATAAAACTATATCTTCCAATAATGTACAATTTATTTCCCTTTTTGTTATCAAACAAAATAATTAATTACCAATAATTAATTGACTAATTGAGTATTTTTGTTCATTGATTCATGTTGTGTTAGGTAGAATAAATAATTGTTTAAAGTATCAACTTGATCAGAGGGAAAAATAGTGTTAATAATTATTTAAGGGAAGTAAACCCAACAAATGTATATATATGTGAATACTGAAGTATTAGTTTCCCTTGTATCTAATAAACAAAATAATTAATTATCAATAATTAATTGTCTAATTGGCTGCTTTTTTTTTTATTGATTCATGTCTCGTCTTAGATCTCAATGAATAATTGTGTGAAATTTTAACTTGAATTGAGAAGGGGTATGGGAGAAATAATGTGTACACACTTTTACAGACAGAGTGAGTTGATATAATCTTTGTAAAAAGGAGACAACAATGTGTCTCAAGGTCAGTCAGTCAGATCTCAATTCCATTCATATCAGTATATAACATGTCATACTACAATTCATTCAGCTTATATTGTAATTATTACTGTGATTTCTACATTTTTTAAAATTTCGATTGAAAAAATTTTGCTATTCTATGAAATGAGTTCAAAGGATGAACCATTCAATCTCAATGGATAACACAGTGTGGATTTCAATGTTTCATTTTAATAAACTAGTGGAATGGAGTAGAACGAATGTGTTGCTGTTCAATAATCTATAGACATGAACTCTCCAAAGTAATGCAACAAGAATGAACTAAAAAAAAAACAAGAGCTTTATTACCAAATGAATAAAAATTTAACTAGAGTTACATTATTATTTGGTAAAAACACTAAACTTTGACACACTACAGGACAGGCTGCCTTGTCATGTGGTATATAGCCACCCAAATCCCTGACCCTGGTCTGGGAGGTTTGTGCTAAGATGTAATAATCTTCAATTCTAAAGGTACATCCAAAAAATGTAAACAAAACAAGTAACAGAAAACTAAAAAAAATAGTAAAGTAGCATAAAAACATAAAACAATAAATTATAACAAAAAAAATTTGAATATAAATTTAGGAATGAACACACAATGTCCAAATCTCATTCAGGTTTGAACTCGGGCCATCATGACAATAACCCAAAGCACAATCCACAAGGGAGGCATGGTGCTTGACTTCTGAACCGGGCGTCCTGGGTTCGAATCCTGATGAAGACTGGGGTTTTTAATTTCGGAATTTTTGAGCACCTCAGAATTTGTTTATATTTTGCATTGAAAGTATATACATTTTTATTTTTACTGATACTCATTACAGGTAAGTGGTACAGTGTTGATTTTTTTCCTGCTAATAGTACATGTGTCTTGCTATATTCCTACCAATTTTCAGATTGATCCATTGCCAACATCTTACAAACTTGAAAAAACAAAATAAGACTGACTTCAATGGACATTTCAATTTCAATTATTTTTTTATAGAAGATATTGTGTTTTATCAGCAAGTGAAATTATAATCTTGTAGCAGATATTATTAGCTAAAGATCTAGATACTGTTTAAAGAGTTTTTACCTTGCAATTTTTTTTTTTAAATGCATTTGAAAAAAACTTGTTTCAGGCGATTTTGATCCCAATTTTTAAATATTTTGTTATTTTCTGCCTTCCAACTCCGCCATTTTGTCCGCACCTCTCTGACATATCTTGTAGCTCTAGACCCGATAATTTGTTTATTTCATCAATATTTACATTCTAAACAAGTGAAGTTCATAAATATAAATGAAATCAGATTTGTGAGCTAGAAATTTACTACTAATACTAGATCTACCATAAAGATTAAATTCCTTTTTTAATAAGTATATCTATCATCTGTCTATGAAACTCAACTCCAACTTTTTATCTGGGGGTGTGTCTTTTCCGGCTTAGCCTGCGGGACGCTCTCATCTTACTTGTTCAATGTCTACCAATGTTAGGTCAAAACGCCACAAAAAATCATAACTTTCTAACTGTTAAACATACAGTCATGATTTATACACACCAGTGGAAAGTTCTTTTTAAGTATTTTAATGATGTACTAACGAAAAATTATTTTTTCAAAGATAAATTTTTTATTTCACCTCCCTATATATATATCTTCTATTATGGCTTTGGGGAAATTGAAGTAACCTCTCTCCTCTGTAGTTTCAAAGTCAAAGATAAGATTATGCTAGCTAGATCTGGTAAAATCTGGTTCAATGTTGTTTTTTCAAAAGTGTATTGAATGTCATTTTTAAATTATATAATAATATAATTATATCATGCTCATATTAAGATAGATCTAGTCGACTCAATACTGACTTTAGAACTTTACTGATTTTGACACTTTCAATCTTATCTTAAATCTAATTAGTCATTATTTTTAGTCTTATTTTAATTTTTATATTATATTATAATAATAACTATACAGTATAATAATACAGACGTTACTTAAAAAAAGAAGATGATTACATCCTACACGTCATGCATATTAACCAATGACTCAAATTCTGCCAAGTCACTGGTTTTCCTGGCTCGAAGAGACATAGATCTAGATATCTAGATCTAGTCTAAGTAAGACTTTTTTAAAGTTAAAAACTTACCACATGATCATCCTTTTTTTGCGCTGTTTCTATTGAACAGGATAATGGGGTGGTATCATCTAAAGTAATTTTGTTTGATTTCCGTTGCTCAAAAACATTTGCCATTTTTACGATATGTAATATTAGATTTAGGTCTAGTATTTTCAGGAATAATTGATTTACTATTTACATTTTTTTATGGGCTGCAGCCGCCATAATTGTTTCTCGGAAACGTCAACAATTAAAAAGGGGCGTGAAGCTAATGCTCCAAAAAGGTATAATGATGATCGAAATCTCTGATGCATGTCATGTAGATCTAGATCTTGGAGAAACCAAATCTATCTAGTTATAGATCTAGGTCTCTTAAAATATTTTATCGATTTCGATTACCTACATTTCTGTGTTAATTTAGATATAGTCTATATACATTTAAATTAATGTCGCCAAGCCAAATCGGAAACATATTCTTTTTTGACAACATGTCCATCTTCCATCTAATCTTTTAAGTAACATGTACATGTACTGTCCTTAGTGTGCTGCTGTACTCAAATTAAGATCTACTGCGCCTTAGTGAATGTATTTTATAGATCTACTCCACAAATAATACTTAGCAAATCAGTTAATGTGATTAAAATAAAGGTAACACACTAAAGTAAAATTTAAAAAAACGAAAATGAAATACTTCAAATATGAAAATATAGTATTATTAACAGTCTAATGAAATACCTAGTAGTAGATTCTAGTACCTAGTCACGACCTAGTGTCTTAGTCTTAGACTTTTAGTTACAACCTAGTAGATCTACTTAGGCTTAGCCTAGTTAGGCTACTACACTAGACTAGACTCAAGCTAGCAGCTAGACTTAGTCTTAGACTTAAAGACTGTCACTCTATGCAGTCTAGGCCTCTAGAGGTGAGTAGATCTCAGGTGTTATAATAAATGAAAAACTGTCATGGAATCCCCATATTATACCATATTCATTGATGAAAGTATCAAATAAAGCATTAGGACAGGGTTTAATTAAAAGAAATTTCTATAAATCAAATAAGAACATATATATATATATATATATCTAAAATATTCTTTAACCTTGGTAAGAAAGGCCAATAATAGATTAGAATATGCATCCTCTGTTTGGGACCCCTCAACTCAAGAAAACATTAAGAAACTGGAACAGACACAAAATAGAGCTTATAAAGACTTAAGTCCTCCCGCGCCGTTCGGCGCATTGGGGGCGGCAAGCTGTCTCCATAAAGATCTGTCACTGGCAATGTCTGAAGCCTCCTCCCACCTGGTGTCCACTGTTCTGAGGTCCTCCATGAAGGAGTGTCGCCAAGTAATATGAGGACGTCCCTGTTTGCACTTTCCTCGTTTTGGCTTCCATGTTATCGCAACTCTTGGTGTGCGTAATTCATTTCGACGTAGAACATGTCCCACAAACCTAATGCGACGCTCAATCACAGCCTCACTAAGTGTTCGACTCCTAGTTTGGCATAGGATTTCCTTGTTTGAGACCCGATCTGTGTAACTGACTCCCAAAATCCGTCTCAGCCATCTCTGTTGAGCCACATTTAGTCTTTTCTCAATTTTGACAGATTCACTTTCTCAACATAATCATCATTCCAACTGCTACATATGCATGTGAGACAAAATAGAGCAGTGAGAGTCATAACAAACGAATACTCACAGTTGACTAAAGTTGTAACACCTTTAGCCTTTAGTAAAATCACTAAATTTAGAAAGCTTTCAGGTTAGAAGGCTCAAAAGTAAAGTAGCAATTATACATAAAACACTGAACCATAATCTTCTAATACAAAAAATAAATCTAATTAAATACTCAGGAAGACACAAGGATAAGGGCACATTCCTCGTTTCATATGCTAGGACAAATTTGTACAAATGCTCCTTCTTCCCTAGTGCTAGAAGCTATTAGAGCATGCAATGAATTGCTTGGGCCAGCCTGGAAAACCAGTGACTTGGCAGAATTTAAGTCATTGGTTAACATGCATGACCGACACAGTTAAATTGAGTTCTATGTCTAGACTAGGACTTAAATGTGACGCAACATAAACAATGTCCCGATCAAAACTCTGTTGCTTGGATCCTATATTGTCGGGCAGCTTTTATAAATAGTTATGTATTTCAAAACTCCAGTGGTTGTATCCAGCTGTCATCTATAAGTAGTTATGTATGATAAATACACTTTGCTTGTCATTGTCTCCTCCACCTCCCCTATTTGGTCCACAGAAGTTGCAACACTCTCATACTATTTCATATTAATTCTCTTTCATCTAATTGAAGAGATTTGATAGTCTTTGATTTTCATCAGCCCGATCTCTATTTAGAGCCATTGCAAGGTTACTAATGGCGATGCCATTGTAAAATTTCTCAAATCCTCCCTTCCATGCCACAGTTCAATCATTACTTACTCTACTTTGTTGTGGATATTGCTTCTTTTTATATTATGCATTGTTTTACATTTAATAGTTTTATTATTTCTTTTTATTTTATTATGGTTTGTGTATATATATCTAATTAACTCTGTGCATTAAGCAGTCATTTAAAATTAGTTAACATTTTATTTTGTTTGGAGTCGAAGAAGTGAAAGAAATTGTTCTTGACTGATGTGCTGGTATAAATATTTTATTTATTATAAAAACACAGAAGATTAAGTTACATTTTGTATGGCTACAACATGTCTTACATGTGAAGCTTAAAGTTAGAGATTATATATTCAATGTGAATATTTTTTTTTCTTTTAATTTATGTTGTTACTTTTATTGCATAATTTATATTTAGTTATTGCTTAAAGTATAAAAGCTTGCCTGCATTCTAAATGAATTTCACTAATAGATCTAATAGCTGTTAGAAACAAAGACTTAACACAAGCAGAAAAACCATGGCAAGTAAATCAAGGGAGATAGTCTAGTGTTAAACCTTTGTTAGGCACTTAGTTTATAGTACTAGTTATTTAGCGACGCACCAAAGAAGACATATATTGAACGGGACTAGTGGGATATTTTGGGTTAGTTAGCTATAGGATTCTCTTGGGTAAAGACGTGATTTATTTGACAGAGACTCTGGCTGTGGCCTTTTATTGGATTAAACTTATTATTCATTGTTCATCAGTGTTGACCACATCTTTTCACTAGTTAATAATCGATGTTTGTTGATTATGTGCTGTCGTTCAACTACATTGAATACACCCGAACAAGAAACCCAAACGCTTGATGAGTTATTGATTGAAATCTAACAATCATCAACAGTTGACTTCAGTACAGAATTAAACATCCATCACACCTTAAAACAAAAATGTTGTATTACTAATAGCAATATATACGTAAATAAGAAATATTAATCTCTGGTTAAATTAAATTACATATTTGTTATACTGCATTTTTTAATACAAATTCTTAAAATTATATAGAAACCTGATTCTGTGTATATGGCCACGTTCATTAATATGCTATTCTTAGTATTCTAGACTAAACTCAAGTGGCAAAGTGTTACATGCACTTGTAGATTTAGGTAATACGCTAAGTTAAACTTAAGTCTTAAGATATATAATATATATTTTTTTAAGAAAAAGTGGAAATCAATATTGATAACATTTCTTTATGCCTTATTAAATCTTAGTAGACAATAATTATTTAATAACTGTCAACAATGGATGCGTTGGTTGGTGGATTAGATAGTATAGTTATTTTGCACTACTACCCCATTCTTATTTAAAAAATGATACTCCTTAGTAATCTTCTGTTTTTCTCTCCCTAATTTAATATACTTACCAAGACCTTACTGATTTATTATTCCCATACACACACACACTCTTTTCTATTCACTTGACAAAAAAATAATAATTTTGAAAATGAAGCACAGAAACTTCCATCACAACTGGTCCATAAAAATGATAGAACTCTGAGCATGCATGAAGGTTGTGCTAAACAAAAACAATTAATGGAAATATTTCCAATCATACAAATTTATTATTTTTAGTTTATATATATCTAATAATTACATTATTTATTCAAAATAATTTATGCAATTTCACTCAATATAAGCGAGGTTTTTACTTGTTCAGCTTTTTCATTTTTCCTAAACTCATTCCCTGCACATCTTCTTTGCTTTGTTTTTTTCAACTAATTTTTATATTTTCATTTTACATAACAAATTTTCCTTTATTCCAGGTTTCCATACATTAACATAATGACTTTAACCCCAAAGCAAGTTTTGGGTTTTAAATGTTGGAAATACATTGTGCATAGCACATCAAGATCTGAGACTTTCTACACATTTAAAAACATTTTAACGAACCATTTTACGTGTTCTAGTCTTGTTACCATTAGACTTAATTCAGCTTGGCATGGGATCACCATACCCAGTAAAGTTTGCAGGAAACATGAGCTGCTTCAAACAGTTGCTCCATGCAGAATCACTAGAGCTGCAAGCATTCAAAGCCACATTGTAGCAGACTTCACTCAAGACCTGAACCTAGAGGAGCTGCGAGCAGAGAGCAAGAAAGACAAGAATAATAAAGATGCACGCACCATAACAAAGATCAAAGAGGCCATTGCCAAGAGGTGTGATGAAGCCATCTCTAACCTGAATGATGAAAACAAAAAGAAATTAAAAGTCATTCAGCTTGAACACAATTTTTTATACTCAGAAGGAAACTTTATTCCAGTAAGTATCTTTATAGAATTACGTTTGGAAGTAAGAATCTTAATAGAATTATGTTTACAAGTAAGTATCTTTATATAGAATTAAGTTTGCAAGTATCTTTATAGAATTAAGTTTTAAAGTAAGTATCTTTATAGAATTACATTTGCAAGTAAGTATCTTTATAGAATTCAGTTTGAAAGTAAGTATCTTTATAGAATTACATTTGCAAGTAAGTATCTTTATAGAATTCAGTTTGTAAGTAAGTATCTTTATAGAATTACATTTGCAAGTAAGTATCTTTATAGAATTAAGTTTGCAAGTAAGTATCTCATATGTGAATGTAAAGAGTCCCCCTTTCAGACCTTGTGATCTATGGGGCAGAGATGTTTATGTCACCTATTTCTTAGGCAAACGGTTAACAAGCAAGGTGTCAGGTAGGTAGCACAATGTCCAACCACCTTTACAGGTACCCATTAGAGTTGGGTGGACTCAGGGGCTCCCTAAAAATCCAGAAATTGTAACCTACGACCCCAGGTTTGGAACCCAATATAGGATATCAGAACTGATTCAATTTCAGATATATATAAGCTGTGTAGTTCAAGAAGTATATAAAGAGATCATAGTTTATGCTTTACTTCACTGATGTGATTCTATTATTTCCTCTTTAAAATACCCATTTCCTTTTCATTGTTAATATATCTCTCACTGGATGTGGCAAAACATGTAGACCCCAGCTAGGAATCCACAGACTTCTTCCTTAATCTTTGGACTCAAAGACAAGCCTTATTATTGTACAAAACTCATTAAATTCTGACATATCTGCCCCCATCTTCTGAAACAGGTGCTAATGACGTTCTGCAAATAAAACCCAATTATTTTAATAGGTAACTCCTCCCTAAAAAACTAAACTTTTTCTTTTACAGATAGACTTTTAAGCAATGAATTTCAGCCAATGAAGCCTTTTAAAAAAAAAATGTAATTATGAAAATAAATTTAACAAAACATATTGTTCCTAGCATGTGACCTATTTAGGGTTACCAGACACAAGCTGTCTCAAAGAAAGACATAAAAATGAAAAATCTTTAAAAACGAGGCTTGCAAACAGTAATTCATAGGCTGTGAAAAAAAAAACTATTTATATGTATCTATTAATATCTAATTTCTCAGATGAATAGACTTTTATATAAAGCAGTTCATTATT